CCACATGGGATCCGAACCCTCGGGCGGGAGCGCCGCCTCGCTTCCCAAGCGGCACACTATCCAGTGCGCCACCGGGCCGGCCCAGAATTTGTTTAATTTCTATAAAAATAAATCTTAAATTGAAGTTAATTAAATTGAGGTTAATTTTTCTGGACTTTTTTGCTCTCTTCAGTGTCTCTTGATTTATGAATTTGGTCTAGACTTGTTTTTACTCCCTTTATTTTTCCCTCCAATTCTATTGCTTATTATTAGTATATTTAGGAGTTTTTTTGTTCTGTGGTTTTTTTGTTTGTTTTTTGTTTTTTAAAAGATTACTGGTAAGGGGATTTTTTTTTTTCCTTTTTGTCTTTTTTACTGACTGGTAACGGGATCACAACCCTCGTTGTTGCGCCCGCACCGCGCTCAGCCAGTGAGCGGGAACCGGTCTCCACATGGGATCCGAACCCTCGGCGGGAGCCACGCTCTCAAGCAGCGCACCCTCCAGTGCGCCACTGGGCCGGCCGAAGGGGATCTTAACCCTTGACTTGGTGGTGTCAGCACCATGCTCTCCCAAGTGAGCTAACCAGCCCTCCCTATAAAAAAATCTGAACCCGTGGCCTTGGTTACTTTGTTTTTTTGATAAACCACATATTCCTGCTAATCTTGCCTACTTCAGTCTTTACCATATATTAGTAAGTTTTGGAGAAATGTAAAACTTTGAAGCTGATTTCGTTGTGAAAAATTAGAGCAGGCAATTTAAATTTTCAAAATGTGGCTTTGTAACCATTACACTGCTTATAATCTAAGACATGGGAAATTATTTTTCAGATGCTTTAACATGCAACATTTCATTCAGTGGAAATTGTACAACCATTAGAAAATTTTAAGCCAATTAACAAACGGTAAACTGAAGGAATTTTTTTTTGTAGAAAAGATGTATACAGTATACTACTGAGTGTAATACTTAATCACCTGATACCTTTTGTTAAAACAAATTTCAGTGCATGTGTATATATTTGTGTATGCACAAAGAAAAAGTTGGAAAGAATATACACAAACTGATAACACTGGCTACTTTCTGTGTGGAGTAGAATTAGAAGAGAGGAAGACTCTTAAAATGTTACAGTGAACAAAAATTGTGTTTCAATTTAAAATGTATGTATCCGAAAAAGTAAGTCTGCATCATTTTATGGTGATACTTACCTTTGCACCATGATTTTTTGATTTTAAAGTCAAATACAGTTTTTCAATAGTATTTAATAGCTTATTAGAGAATTGAAATGCATGTTCTTAAAACAGAAACTGAAAAATTCAGTTTGGTGAGTTGTTTCTTTTTCAAAGTAATGTGTGGAATTTTTAAAAAGTCCTCTTAAGAATTAGATGTTAAGGCCATTCTAGTGTTAAAAGGAAAAAGGTATTTTCTGGCAACTAATGTTGCTATTTTGGTGATAGCATAGGTTAAGTAATTGTGCCCATCTTCAGCAAGCCATTTTAGTGTTGAATTCTGCTGAAACATTTTTGTACTAATTGCAATCTTTGTGCTAATGTTCTCTAGGCAGGAACATTGAAAAGATAATGTTTTGTGAGGTGGAGAGGTTTTTCTCATAACAAATTATTGTGGAAGGCGTTTTATTTCAGTTACTACTATACACATATTATGTATCCACACACACACTTTTGAATCTTTTGAATCACACACACTTTTGTTTTGGCGGCGGGCCTGTACAGGGATCCAAACCCTTGATCTTGTTATCAGCACTCCACTCTAACCAAGTGAGCTAACTGGCCAGTTGTTAAATGTTTAAAACAGATCAAAAGCATTCGCAGAATGAATGCATTAAATCTGTGTAATTTTCATGTATCCAAATTTCCTTCTTCCTGTAGACTTTCTTAAAGTTAGCTTTCAGCTATTGAAAAGATGTAATAATGTGTATGGTTTTAAAAAATCAGAGTACAGATGCATTTATAAATGAAAAGCGACACTCTCTTGCCCTACCCCTTTCTGTTCCTGTTCTGATTTCCAGGGACATTGACTTTTCCTTTTTGTGTGTTGAATTCTTCTGGTAGATACTTCAGTATTTAAAAATATACTTGTACCAATTTCTTGTTTTATCAACTTTAGATAATAAGTTGGAGATTTAGTTTAACTTGGTAGATAGTAGGTGAGAGTTTAGTTTACCACACCCACTGTTGCCTTCGTCCTACTTCCGATGTATTTATATAGCTATTTTAAATTATTTTTTTACCTTTGTGACTTTAATAGACATAAAATTATGTTTGTTTTATGAACTTACAGACAGTATCTCTTGAGTCTCTATTTGATAAGGTGAGGCAATTAGTGCCCCATCTTTTCTTCCATTTCTTTTTATTTTTTACTTGTTTTCAGTGGCCGTACAGGGATACAAACCCTTCACCTTGATGTTACAAGGTGGTATTCTAACCACCTGAGTTAACTGGCTGGCCCTTTTTCTTCCATTTTATTCTTACCTCTTCTGTCAGCTTCTATCCAGATGAACTTTAAAAAAAAATTAGGGTTGATAATATTTACATTCCATTTTGTAATCTTATGAAGTCTTTTATACTTTTTACTACTTGTTGATTGTAAAAGCCGAACAATAATAATAGCATTTGTTATACAGTATAACAAGGTAGTTACCTTTTTACAAAAGTGGCTAGGATTTTTTTTTTCCCCTTTGTAAAGGTCTTGAAGGAGAATGTCCAACCGAATTCTTTCTTTCATTTCTATTCCCTGATTCTTTCTAGCTATTCTTGAAATTCATTTTTTTTTTGTTTGGAGTAGCTTTCTGTTCTTATTTTGGCTTTTTTGTGTGTCATGTTTGCACTGATTCTCTTGTACATCTATTCCTTCCCTTAATACATCCAAAGTTTCTAA